CTCTCTCTCTCTCTCTCTCTCTCTCTCTCTCTCTCTCTCTCTCAAATAAATAAATAAAAAAAAAATTAAAATACAGACGTATAGCCCAAGGAATGCTCGAATTTAAGGTGTAATATCCTATTGTTTTACACATTTTGCTAACGAAAAATTCAACTCAAACACCTGAAGCTATTTTGTCTATGTTATTATTCCCAGCAGCAACCCACGTGGGGGGATCATGCTATTTTTTTTTTACCTAAAAAGTGGAGAAAAAAAATTTTTATAGGGTCTGTAATGGAGTTCAGAAATGAAAATACAATTTTATTACAGATATAGATAATATGAGTGGTCTAACAAGATCTCGTTCTTTGTAGCTCAAAATGTCTCAGTGATTCATTTGCTTTTGTATAGGTGGATTCCTGTATTCATTTCACATCAGTAAGAACCAGTTTCCTAAGCCCCACATGTGAGTGACACATGACATGTGGCCCAGCAGCTGCAGAGGGGAATGGAACATAGTCCCTCCGGAGGGACGTCTGATTTTAAAGGGTAGAAAAAGCTGAAGATGAAAACCACTGTGCAGCCTGCGTCCAGTTTCCTCGCAGTAGTGTTTCACTCCAGCACCCAGGCAGGGTGGAGTGGGGGTGCTCCACCTGCCCAGAATTCAGACCGGAATGTTAAAAGCACTGCTTTAAGCACAACTGGTGTTTTGAAGCCAATGCAGCTATCAGACTGAATTAATAGTTTTTCCGCTTAGAATTGTTTCTGCTCTCACTCCTAAAAAAGATTTTAAAGAGGATTGTTTGATTGACTTGTCCCATTGTAAAGTATGCACCTGCTGTGAAATAAAGCCAAGGGGGAAAAAAAAGTTGAATAATTTAACTTTTTTATTTGTAAAGATAATCAGGGTTTTTCTGATTACATCTTAACTTCATAAATGTTAAATAACCTATCAGCATCTAGTTGTTGTAAATTATGAAAAGGAGCATTGCAAGGAATATTAACCAACAAAACCCTTGTTCTTTAGTGAACAGGAAAATGTGTTATGGCAGCTTGTCATTGTGCAACTGGTAACTTTGACACCAAATAACAAAACTGCCATTTGCACTTAGGCTAAATTGGTTCACTTGAGCTTCCGAGCCACCTCTTGCTCTGACATAAATTTATGAACTCGAGAACTAACCAAGTCGTGTGGTTTCCCAGCTGACTCTAACAAATATGCCCATTTCATTTCATTTAGTCATCAGGATACCAGGGGGCTCAGGGCCTCAGACTCATTGCAGATGGTGTAGGGTTAGCAGGAACTCAGGAGGCTTGCGTGTCACAGCCCTGTAAATCATGACAGCGGTGGGGCCTCTTTCCTAAATGCATGTCACTGTCTGAGGTGTTTGCAGCTTAAGGAGCCTTCTCTCTTGCGCCACCTCCTAGGTATATGTAGAGGACATTTATTGCTGATTAACCACAAGGTGAAAAATACACCTCCCAGAATCACGCCTCGGCTAGCCAGGTTTAAACCTTGATCATGGTCGTGTCTCTGTTGGAAACACAGTGAAAGTGCAATTTTGGCTCCTGGCCCCCTGGAAGTTCTGTCCTTGTGATGGGTGGAATTTCCAAAGAAAACAGTAGAAAAAGATGAAATACACAGCGAGTGAGCTCAGGTCGGTCAGAGGGAGGGAGGGCTACTCTCTCCCGGTGCTGGGGATGAATGAACTCGTGCCTGTCTTCGTAGGAATGCAATCCAGTTCACATAAAAAGCAATAAAGCTAGAAAGCAAGGAATCATCATAAAGACTTTTATTTGAATGACTGTATCATTTATTTGGATAGAGAATAGCGAATTCAGATGAAACATGGGCTCAGAAGTGTTTGAAGGCATCAAGAAGAATGCCATAGTTGGTTTTTGGTTTTTATTTCATTGTGTTCCATTTCCTTTTATTTTGTAGGGGTGGGCATCATTTATTCAGCACTTTCTGCATTGTAGGAATGTGTTGAAATGCTTTATAAGCATCTTTGGGTTTATTCCAAATGTGACATATATATGCACTGAGCCCCAGCACACACCTATAGATTGGGTATGACAAGCATCTACTAAGAAAGGGAGGAAAAGGCTAAAATTTCTTAAAGAAATAATTAATAAAATGTAGTGGTCACAAGTTCAGAAGTGAAGAAAGCAAGGTCCAGTGTAGGGTGCTTTGAGGCCTATATCCCGGAAAATGGGGAGGTGGTGGCTTTGTTAATTGAAGGAGGAACCCAGGAAGAGCAGGTTGGGAGCAGGAGGCGCAGCTCTTTCTGTTCAGGACCTTGTGCTGATGTGGACAGCTCTGAGGGAGTTAATGTGGAAATGCCTAGAAGGCTGCTGCAAATCCCAGCTTGAGAAGAGGTGTCAGGCCAGACATATGCATTTAGCAATCAGTAGTATAAGGTAATTGTTTCAGCAGCTGGGAAACGTAACGTGAGTCTAAGCAGGATGCTCTAACTTTTAAAAATAAAGATTCTCAGTCTTCGTTGTCAAATTCAGCATAATTTAGCACCTTTCTTGAGGAACAAATTGATCAATCTTTTTGAAAAGATTTCAGGCTGGGGAGATAGCTCTGCAGAATAAGCTTGCCTGGTAAACACAAGGTCCTGTGTTCAATCCCCAGTTCCACAAAAAAAAAAAGAAAAGATTTCTTCTTTCCATCCACCCTGAGCGTAACCCAGAGTATCTCCGGGGTCTGTGGGCCCTTCCGTTCTTTAACCATTGTACCTACTGCTACATCACTATCATTAGACCTCATCTCTCCTGCATCCTGAATCGTGTGCTATTTTCTCAGAAATGTGGTCTGCCCATTTCATTGTTTCTATTGTACAGACAAATTTAAGTCCAAGATCAGTAACTAAGAGCCTAAATGTTACAAGGCTCAGATCAATGAGATAATTCGTAGGAAATGCCATTATATTCTTCATGCTAGGCTCCGCCCCTCTCCTTGAAAAAGTACGTATGCTGGTCATGACCAAATAAAGCTCAGTAAGCATTCAGTTATATAAATAGATAGTATAGCGGCCAAAAGGACAAGATTCCCTTCTTTAGGAAGCAGCAGTGAAACATGACAGTTATTGTACCCAAATTTCATATGTGTTTTCAATTTTCATATGTGACTTATGTACATAAGTCTCGCTGACTGAGTGGACTGTCTCAACTCAATAATTAATGCACTGGGAATTCTCTAGGTAGACGGTGATTTGCAGACTTTATGGGCTATTATGTCAAGGATCAGTGTCACACAGGATGCATACACAATGCTCTACGGAAAAATTGTCACAAGCACAACTGATGCTTTTTACATACCTTAAGAGTAAGTAAACTTAGAAAAAAATATATGACACAATTCCTAATTGCCTGTCTTTTCTTATGTGAGATGTGCCGTTAGTTTTATCCACGAGTAGAGGAAGGATAGCTTTGAACAGAAATAGTACAGCTTCTAAGGGACAGGTCCATCACATCCTGATTATCTTCCAAATCAAATGTTGTGCAGCTTTTAATTTCTCTATGAAACAAATGCTTACCTTTCAATTACAAGGTTTTAAATGTACATTTTTCTGAAATGACAAACGATTTGTTGACCATATGTACATGATTCTGAACCACCCTCTTCCTCTTTGTCTCCCTTAAGGGATCCTCATCCCCCAAATTCCCGTGGAGTACAACGTCCTGCTCAATGATGGGAGTGTCACACCTCTGACCTTCTCTGTCGGTCACCAACAATCCACCCTCCTGGAAAATCTGGCTCCTTTCACCCAGTATGAGATAAGGATGCAAGCATGTCAAAATGGTGAAAGCCTTTCAGACACTTGGCTTGGGCTTTTATGGGAAAGTATTTCATAAACAATTTTTTTCATTAAAAAGAAATAGGTTCTCAGTTCACATGCAAAGACTAACATTTCAATTCTTATTTGTAGTGGACTGTTTACCTAGAAAACTCAGAGCCTGCCATCCAGCAAAGCATTATGCACCTCTGCATGTTAAATCATGAATATTTAAATATATTAAAATGGTGGTTTTGTAAAATCTTGTTCTATAAGGACCTTTAGAAGAAAAACACCGGCTTCACTCAGAGATAGTGGTAATACAAAACAAAGTGGGTGTTACAAAAAATTCATAGAAAATATGTTTACATTGGTTTTATTTAAACTTAATCAAGATATAAAGAGAAGTTATTTAAAAATTGAGTTGCCCCATGTGAATCTTACATGTTTTACAGGGCTTCCGCGAACCCAGTGTCATGGGCCTAAACTGTCCCCTTGAATTTTGTGATGCAGATGGTGACATAATCTTCTATCTGTGCTATCCTAAAGACAATGTGCCAGTTCCCACCATCCCTCCAAGGGGATAACTAGTTAAATGTAAACTGAGATTTAGGAGAGGAAGACAAGGCTAACTTCATTTTACTTTAAATACAGAGACTGCTAGATATAGATACATTGACACATGAGGATATACATCTCCTATATGTTGTAGCACTCCTAATTGCTACCTGAGGCTGTAGCTCATGTTGGGGTACATGGGCCTTGCATTAGACTGCAGAAGCCTTCCCACCTTGTGCCCAGTGGGGAGGGACTGTCGTGCCCCAGATCAACTCCATTGTTGTGGGAATTTCTGCTCCTGCAGATGCGCTAGTGTCGTGGGTTCAGCTGGGATCAGAAACCATGAGCCCGTTTGCCAGTGTGTGTCTACCATCCGGACCCTGACAACTATCGCTGAAGGGTACTGCTTTTGCTGATCCAATCCTCAGCGCATCCGTGTACACCTAGCTTTAAGTTGATGTTTTCTTGATTTAGAGGCAGAGTCAACTTCCAAACTCTATCCCCTGAAACTGGGCTATTCAGGTGCAGTGACCTTCTAATTTTTAGATTCCTGTGTGAAGAAGAGTCATTTATTTTAAACACTGGCAAAAATAATAGTATTAAGAGTATCCAAGATGGGGCTGACCAGATAGCTCAGCAGACTAAAGCACCTGCTCAGGCAGAGCGCAGCGCCGGGTTTAATCCCCAGCATATTGTGCCAGCCCCACAACCAGTGCATGCTGAGATGGCAATTGAGACTGAGCATGGTGGCGTGTGCGCCTGTAATCCCAAAGCTTGGGAGATTGAAAATAGGAGAATCACTACGAGTCCAATCTACATAGTGAAACCCTGTAGACCCTGTCCTAAATTCATTTTTAAAAAGAAAGAAAAGAGTATCCAAGATGTATAACCAAGTCTACACTTGTGAAATTCAAATGTGTTATCACTTTTTGGCTAGAAAAATCCAACTAATTGAGGGAAATGTTAGTTTCAAAAGCATGTATCTGATTGCCTATGCCTGTGTAAATATGTGACTTACTAGTATTTTTTTACAAAACTACCACCTATTTAAATGTTCAAATTTTATAGCTATGTACAGTTTTGATCTAACATACATGTTGAAGTATGTAGACAAAACTTCAGACAGATGATTTCATGCTACCCTCCACCCTGCTATGTAGGTATGTAGCTCTTTTCCTCACTTCACAAAATCTTAAAGACGTCACCTCTTTCTCAAGGAGGTTGTGGGGTGAGCAGCAGGGTGTCTGCCTGGACGTCGGAGGCAGCCCCCCAGGATCTTCGCGCCCCTCTTCTCAGGACTCTGGGGTCATCTTGCATCGAGGTCCAGTGGATGCCACCTACAAAACCCAATGGAATCATCACCAACTACTTCATTTACAGGTAAGACTGTTTTCACTTGTATAGGGAGGCGCGCCATTCTGAGACAGTCAGGTTGATGTGGCTTTCATTTCTGTCCCGGATGCAGGAGCACTGGTGCTTTCAGAGCGCCCCTGGGGCAGACGAGACAGGGGCCAAGGATTCACTTCCCCCAACAAGACATGCCACCCTGCAGGGGTGATGGCGGCCCTTCCCAGGGGGAGAGACTGGTTCTGCGGCACCCTGGGATGTGACTTAGTCCACCTAGCTGGATGGGTGGTGTGGGGGGGCTTGCTTACTTGTCATGAGCAGAGTCTTATTAAATGGATCGACCTAAAATGATGAAGAAGAAAGAGGAATTTGGAGGAGAGATTGAAGGGAGAGACAAGAGAGGGAACAGAAGACAGAGAGAAGGGAGGAAGGAAGAGAGGGTGAGGGGAAGGAAGTAAGAGGGAGAATGGAAGGAAGGAGAAAGGAAAGGCGGGTCCAGGCCAATGAGTCAGAAAGAGCTTGATGTGCACAGCAGGCAAGACAGGTGTGCTGCAGCCCGCTGTGGCAACATGTGCGTCGCCCCAGGAAGTTGGGAGGCTGAGGCAGAAGGCGCGCTCACGCAGGCCGGCCCAGCCTGGGCAACTTGATGCCTTACTGAGACCTCGTCTCAAAGATTAAAAACTGAGCAAAGGCCTGGGTTCCATCCCCAGTACTGAAGAGAAAAAGAAAAAAGAAAGGAAAGGAAAGGGGAACGGGGAACGGGGAACGGAGAAAGGGGAAAGGGGAAAGGGGAAAGGGGAAAGGGAGAAGGGATAGGAAAACGGAAAGACTAGCACAGTTCGGGACCTGCAGGTGCAATGCCCGCTCCCAAGGGCCCCTTAGATGCAGCGGTCTCCAAGGCTCTCCAGGTCCTCCCACCCCGGTTCCGGCATTCTCCAAGGCAGCCTGCCACCCTGTCTTATTTGGTCCTGTAGCCCGCACATTTAGTGAGCTTAACTTTCAGCTCCTTTCTCGATCTGGATGAGGAAAACCACTCCTTCAGATCCATCTGCAGCGGTGAGCAAAGGGCTCGTAGAAAAATAGGGAAAAGAGAAAGGACTGTTGTGCTTCTGGTTATGTAAATGACATTACCGAAAACGAGCAAGCCAAATTCCTTCTCAGCAAACATTAATTTGAAGAATAATATTTCTGATTCAAATACACACGAACATGTAAGAATGGCTAATGTGAATTTACATTTTACGCTAAGCACATTAGCGCAGGCTCTGAAATGCCCATTCTCTCGAAATAGTTTTCTTTCATCTACTTAATGCTAATTGTATAAGAAAAGCACATCAAATTCCTATTCTGAATAAAGGGAAATAAAGTATCTGTTGGAGAGCAGGACGTGGCTTCACTCTGTTGCTTTTGTAAATAAAGCTCATGATTACAGCGACTATCCGTGGCAGCTCTAGAGAAAGGAAACAGGAAATCTAATGCAGAAAGCCTGCTTCAATGAAAAATACTGTAAATTGAATTTGACAGCATTTGATGGCATTTGATTATTCTAGTCACAGCCAAACAATGATATAAAGAGTAATATGAGGCTGAGTGTGTTACTGCCTAGCAGACTCAAAAGCAATAAACCTTCCTCCAATGTGACACAATCACTTCACAATCATAATTGTAGCCTGTTTGATACCTCTGAGTACAGCGGAAGGGCATGGACTGACATAGATACATTTTGTTTTTTATTTAAAGTGAAATGAAAACGGCGCGCTGGGGCTGCAGATACAATCGTTACGTTCACCTACATAGGCATGAATCACTTGGCAGTTATTCCAGCTGAAGTTTAAATGTGCTTAGACAACAACAATATCAAATTTTTCTTAGATAGCTGCAAAAAAAATCAGAAATTTGTAAGGACAGAAATAGAACGGAGACACATAGTCTTTTTTCATCCCAGGACCGCGCAGGTCCCTTGTACCATTACAGCCATGGGCCTGCAGTATTTCTAAGGAGGTTATGGCATGTAATTTTTGCTTCATCATTTGCCGCCTCTTTCTTCTATTGCCACCAAAGGAAATACACTTAGCTCACACCAAAGGCGAGCTTTGGCCCGTGTAGGTATTTCATTAAGTTGTGGGAAAGCCAACCTCCCTACCTCTTTTGGAAATGCCATTCTCTTCGGTCCCTGAAAACTATTTTTCCTTCTGTAATCCTCTTCCATTGTTTAAGCATTGCCTCCAGATGTCCTCCTGTTAAAAAAAAAAGTCTACCCTAGTAACCAGAGATGTTCATAACTTCAGAGAAAAGAAAAGAAATGACCTATTAGAGACAACCACTCCTATGGTCACCGCAGCTTACTGTACCTGTTAACTGCATTACATTGTCCACCACATATGAGTCATAAGCGAGGTTTCCCACCAAGACTGTGATGAAGAAAAGGAACAACATTTAATTGAGTGTCTCGCAGCCTATTTACTGACAAGGGACAGACAACACTGTCTTGGGCTTTTCACTTCCTCTTCACACGGGGTCTAGTTTGTGTAGAGATTTCCCAGGTTTACCCCTCCTTATCTCCTGTCAATAACTTTGTAATAGGCAGAAATCTCTTCACTTCCAGCTACCAAATCCACCCAAGACATTCTTTTGGGAGTTTACAAAACACGTAATAAAGTTGTCCACTCTTGGTAGGCATTGCCATTTAAATAAAGGAACATTGCATGGGTTTGCAGTCTCATGAGCTTTCTTTTATAAATCACTAAAATATTTCTACCATGTACACTTAAAGACAAAAGCTTTATATCAATGCCCTGTAAACACTGTAAAAATAGGAAGAAATAATAAAAGAACAGCTCTTCTGAGTAGTCCCTAAGATTTTTAAGGAGAAAATCTGGGATGGTTTTGAAAGATGAAGACACAGAAAAATGTTCCAAGGTTGGAAACTAAATGCGATCATTTTCTTGACTGATTTATTAACCTGGTTGAGATAAGTAACAAAAGGTGAGTACCAAGCCAAAGGCCAGGGATTTTGATGCAATTTAACTTGTATCATGTAGAAAGCTAGATATTGATACAGATCTTCAGACAGACAGACAGATGCATATAGCTACCTGTCCCACACAAAGACGGGCATACAAAGCTCTGCAAGATCTGGTCTCTATGACTACCAATCTTCACTGTAGTATAACATATCAAGGCAAACTAGGTAAAAATGTGCAATGTAATGTGAAAAATATAAATGTCAGAAAATTTTGGAGCCGGGGAGATGGCTCAGTGGAATAAGTGCTTCCCTGGCAAGCACAAGGGCCTGAGTTCAATCCCCAGTTCCAGTTCCCCCCCCCAAAAAAAAAAGAAAGAAAAGAAAAGAAAATTGAGAGGAGGGCTGCCCAGATAGCTCAGAGGACTAAAGCATCTGCTTAGGTAGGTGCAAGGACCAGGCTTTGATCCCTGGCATGCCACACTGCATGCTGAGACAGCAATTGAGACTGGGTGTGGTGGCACATGCCTGTAATCCCAGCGCTTGGGAGGCTGAAAACAGGAGGATCACTAAAGTTTGATCTGTATAGTGAGACCATGTAGGACTTGTACTAAATACACACAAAAAAAAGAAAAGAAAAGTTAGAGGAGATGCTTTCTCACTCTACTTCTGGAGTTTCCATGTAGGTCTGCATAAATTCAATGTTATTGGGACTAAGCTTCCCAAAATCTAAAGATCATGACTATTTAAATTGTGAAGCAAATAGATTTGTTGAAAAAGAACTGGAAGTATTAAAAAAAATCAATAGCTATTGTCCATTCTTTAGGACTTACCAGTGCATATATAATTGTCATTAAAAGAAGTAAAATCTATTAATTTTAGAACATTAACTTAGATATTTTTCACTTCTGCTTTCCTTTATATAAAAGGAATCCTATTATAGAAGTTGTTCTGTTGGAATGCCTCTTGTTAATTTTTCTGTATGCTTTACATTTTAAGGAAAGTCTCCACTTGGTGGACACATTAAAAATGCCACATCAAGTATTCCTTCTACAGGTGATCCAGTGGGAAGAGTGGGATTTGTGATCACAGGACGAGGTTTCTGTCATTTGTCAATTAGGTGACTGTGAGAAAATCAGTTGTTCCCACATTGTCTATTTCTGTGTCGTTAGGTTCACCAGTCTCCCTGAATTTTGTAAAACTAAGTGGAGTAATCAATAAAAGTGCTGTGTTAGAGAAACATAATGAAAATAAGGAGAAGGCTTAAAGGTGCTGTCCAAGGTGCTGCTTTAGGAAGGCAAATCTGACAGTTGTAGATGAGTACTGATGGACAAGGAAACAGGTTCTGCTCATAAAAAGATGCTGACTGCACAACAGAATGCCTAGTGTGAGCTGTTTTATTCAAATATACAGTATTTTTATATTTTTAGGTGCATGACAATATGTTTGGATTGTTCAACACCAAACTAACGTTACAGGATGTATCTTCAAGTTACAGGTTATCCATGGGTCTTTGAAGTACTTCTTTTGCTCCTGTGTGTCTCCTATTTAATCTTCACCATCAATATATTATGCGTTATAGCAAAGGCAATATGGCTGCAAATCAGTTATCACCCCATTTTCCTTCCCCTTGATAATGGGAATGAAGCCAGCGCCTTCCGTGGGCTCCACAGGCACTCCGCCACTGCAGCACACACCCAGCACCATACTCGCCATTTTATCATTCTCTTCTTCCTTTGTGCCAGGAACATCATCCTCACTTCTTCTGGCAATCAAAGCATAATCAGGAGAGAGAACTCATAGCAGTTACACCAAGAGAAAGAAAATGATAAGAATAATTACTCACTAGTCATAAATTTGTTAACTAAGGAAGTGAAAGACCACAGAGAGAGCTCTAAGATAGCATAGAGGTGACAAGGGAACATGCCAGCTGAGCAGAGGAGGGCTCCGTGGTAGCCAGGACCCAGACTTGGGAGGAAGGTGCTGCCTCTGGCACAGATATCTGGAAAGCATGAAGTGGAGTGGAAGTTCCAAGTGGCACAAAAGCCCAATATTCAAAACATCTTCTCTGAAGCGGGCAGGAAATGCTACTTCACTGTGGGAGTCTTTGCTGGGGACATGTTCACATTAATGGCTGACAAACAAAGCAGACAGGAAAGAGCCATTTCTTTTTCCTTTCTTCTTCCTGACCACCTTCTGGCACCCCCTGTGAGTACAGCTCAACATAGCTTCTTCTGGTAAACAGGAGAGGTGCGTTTCAGGGTCCCAGCTGTGCTATCATAAAAGTCAAATAGAGAAGGGTATGTTTAGAGCTCAAAATAAGCAACTTAAAAATGGGCACAGTTTCCATTTAAGCAGGTTCCCTGGCGTTTGGGATTCTTCTTGTCAGCCAGTCAGTCATGGCTTCAAAACATCCTTATGGCATCTCCCAGCATGCTTTGCTACTCTAGGTGCTGAGGACCTCGGCTGCAGATCCTTGTAGTGTGGTGGGACAGGGAGGAAAAGAAGCCACGTGGTGACATGGTGTGACCCAGAGTCACCAAAGAAAAGCAATGGGAGTGTACAGTAACTCTGGCACCAAAGCAGAGGAAGGACTTTTGCAGTAAGAGGCTTGGGTAACATTTTTAGAGTGAGTCAGGGTACAGAAAGGGAAAGATGAGGAGAGAGGATGAGATGAGGCATTGAGATGAATGGCTTCCCAGGCTGGGGAAGCCTGACTTGTCTTGGTAAAGCAGAGGGCTTGAGACGAGCCCATCATCATGACTGGAATATAGCTTTTGGAACAGAAAGTCTACCCTGATTGCAAACTGGGCCAGAAGCATGATGCATCATTAAAGGGATTCAAAAGGGTTCTCTTAATATTTGGGGGAGGCATTTGGCATCTCTTTCCCCAGTACCCAAATATCCACTCAGGCCTTAAAGCCTGATGGGTGAGCCTTCAGAGGCCATTTTACACCCCCCTGTGTTTCAACTTCATCTACCTGCGGCCCCGTTTGCCATCTGCATTCATTCTCACATGCGCCACTCGGGTGGCTTCGATGTCAAGGCCATCTGTCTGCAGCCACCAGATCCATCAGCCTATGCAAGGCCTTGAGCACCATCTCTGCTCTCTGGTGAGGTATTGCTCGCTGCATTCTACCCAACGATCTGCGTGCACTTGCTGCGCTCAGTCTGGATCCTACAAGACTTCTGGGAGGTTTGTTACATTCTAAGAGGGTATTAACTCCAATCTACAAAATTAAATAGAGATCACAGGATAAATTGGCCCAGGTCATTAACTCAGTGGTAGAGGCAAGACCTACAACCTGTTTCTTCTGACTACAGGTATTTCTAGATATTCAGAGTATTTTAATAGTCTTCACATGGGAGGGGATGGAATTTTTATATGAAATATATTGAGATTTAGGATTTTGTTTTAACTGCTCATGAAAATAAGCAGTGGCAGTTGCTGGGAGGGAAGTATGCTTCTCTTGAAAAGATTAACCTATGCTAAGACAACATCAATGTGAATACCCTTTAAAATAAATGTTTCTTAGTTTTTATAACTATTTTTCTTTCCTCCTTGATGGAGGAAAACATTAATTTGAGTGGGAAAGATACACTGAGACTCTCCCAAATGAGCATAAGCAAAGAATAACCCTTGGCTCATCAGAAATAAGTGAAGATGTGATTTCTCTAAAAACACCCTGTTTTTAAAAGGAAACATTTCCATGCAAAGGAATAGTTGAAGCCTAAATTGTAAATGGAGTAGGAACAATTGCGAGTTAATCATTTCTGCTCAAAGTGTGTTCAGACATAAAGAGATTCTGGTTTTCAACAGCACAGATGGGACATTTACCCCTCCATGATATTAATTTATTAAGTATTCAGTAGTGAGAAGAAATGCATTAATCAGGCTGCATGTTTTCATTGTGTTGGTGGAGAACATTGGGGCTAACACGGTACTCGGTTTTTTAAATACTGTAGATTTTAAAAATTCACATTTTCAGGCAATTTTTTAAGAATGTCAGTTTTATGCAAACCATGGCTACATCTCAATTTGGGAATTCATGAGAGTTTAATAAAAATTAATTGAATTGTCATAGTGAGGCTGAAGCAAGACAAAATAGAAAGTGTTATTTCCCACAAAGACCTTCCTACATTGGTTTGCTTTATTATATTCCTAGCAAACAGGCTTTAAAGATCACAAGAGGAGCTCTTGGCTTGGAGCCAAGGACTAAAGCTCTCCTTAGGAAAAGTCCCTCCCCATGACACACCTGGTACCTGATAGCTGCCGCAAGTACAAAGGCCAAGCTCTGCAAGGCCACGTGGGGCACAGAATCTGGTCCATGCATGGCATCGGCAATAATGAACTGAGATGCTGCACCGTCACTGCAGGCCACCGAGTGGTCCCCACAATGTCTGCACAGCCTCCAGCAGGGTGTTTGTCATTGCCCATACCTAGGTCATAGTGATTTATCAACTCGAGACTCATCAAGCCCCAAAGCCAGAGATTTTACATATCCTGCCTTTTTGTGAGAGGACACTGTCATTTTCCTTGTCTTAATCACCCATTAGGTTTTGACGGAGCTGGTTAATTTGATGTGGCAGCATGTCCGTTTTCCAGCAGCTGAAGAGAGTGTTAATTAAATACCCCTAAAGGCCTGGAAACGTTGATTTATTCATCCTTCTCTTCTCACCTGGAGAGTGGGCTGAAGCGGGAGAGCCCGTGTCCTGGCTAACTTATTCCCAGCCTATATTTTTTTGCCCTGATAGAATATAAAAATGGACGGAGGTAGAACAGAGATGTAGAAAAGGCAGCAAAATGCGTGCTTGCGAACCTCCCATTTGAGAACAACGGTTGAAGATATGCTAAGTTTCAGTGCTGGGATCGCAGAGGGATTCTGAGTCCAGTTCCTTGGGGCTTCTCCCTTTTGTCAGAGCTACGTTATTTTACCTCCACAGGACCAGTAACTCTTCCTAGTGAAATACCAGATATTCAGGGTGATCCTAGCAACTGACGATGCTGCTTCTCTTGCTTAGAGGCTTAATGTATCATCTGCTCAATACCGAAAGGATACACGTGGGCTCTAGTTTTGAATAGAACAAAATCTAAAGAAACTATCCCGTTCTCAGCAAGTTGAAAGATTTGTTTTCAGAACGTCCAGGGTTTTACTAGGTTTCAGAGGAGCCCTCTACAACACATGTGACTTTTCCCTGTAAGTATCTCTAAGGTGAATTCTGACTGTATTCACGACCCTGTGGCTCTCACTAATACGCATACGGTGCCGTCCAGGCTGCACAGCTCTGACCTCCTTTACATAGAGGGTGTTCGTCACTGTGACCCTGCTTCCAAGACAAGGGCCAGCATGTGCGTGCTTCCCAGAGGTCTGCTGGTGAACAGCAGTGCATGTGTAAGGAGGAACAGTCCTTTTCTTGAAGAGTTGTGGGTCAGAGAAGAAGAAATCCAACTGAAAAACCAAGTGACTTGTGGGAAACAAATTGAAAATGGTTTTCAAACATTCAGGCAACAAAAGCAAAAATTCCATTGTACTCCATAGTGGAAATAAGAACCGTGGGTGTCTTTCTTCTGGTGTCCCTGTCACCCAGTACGGTAGCCGAGACTTTCTACACCTGGTCTCCTGGTCCCAGGGGCAGTGGAGGAGACCTCCGTGTGCAAACACTTTCAAGCGCTGCAGTCAGCAGACTCCCCACTGTCCTACAGCCCTGGCAAGTCCAATGGCCGAGTTCAAAGTGGGTTTGGGAGCACAGGAGCAAAACACATGCACGCGGAAAGACACACACAAAGTGGGACCTGCAGGGCAACCCACAGCCCTACGGGGGGAGGGAGGTCCCAGCTAGCAGCCCCTGGTAATTCTATATTTTATGAAAACTGAAACCTCCACATGACTGTGTGTACACAGGGAGAGAAACAGAAAGTGTGTGGAAATGGGTGCTTGGTATAGGATTCTGCACTGTTTTAAAATTTAATTTTTTTTTTTTTTCAGAACTGGGGATTGTACTCAGTCCCTTGCACTTGCCAGGGAAGTGCTCTTTTTTTTTTTTTTAATTTTTAAAGAACATGTTTCCTTATATGTGTATTTTTTTAAAGGAAAGCAGTCTGGAAAACAATACAACACAATATAATTAAGAGTAATGTTTTGCTCATTGTTATGTGTGTATTCCATATTTTCCACAAAACATGACTCTTTCTTAAACCTTTATTCTTCATGTGTGAGTACCTGCAGCGTGCAGTGCCTGCATTTGCCATGAGTCCGTATGTGACTGTGGCGCGTCTGAATTCTCTTTACACTCCCTCCCCCTGCTCCTTTCCTCCATCTCTGGGTCCTCTTCTCACTTGCAAAAGATCTAAAGAGAAAGTAACACTCTTGCGGGAAGTCAGACATGCATACAGATCCGCACACACATACACACACGTATGCATCCATGTAATGTCATCGTAGAGGACGCCCCTACTAGGTCTCTGCTGCGCTCTTCCAACTATTCTTCCTTTGTCCTGACACAGGGAATGTGAGATGTGGACATGGTAACTGGTTCCTCTAGCAAACATTTTGCTCCCTCTCTAGATCTGGTTTCAAGTTGCTTGCTTGGCTTCCTTTCAGACGTCTGGCTGGTGCTGAAGCTGTGTCCCTCGCATTTGTCTGGTGGGAAGGAGCCCTCAAATTCTCAGATGATGCTGGCACACTGAGGCCTTTCACGCACTATGAGTATCGGGCCCGAGCCCAGAACGCCAGGGGCTTCGTGGACAGTGCTTGGTCCTCTGCGCAGACGCTGGAAGCCCCTCCACAGGCCCTGCCAGCTCCCCAGGTTAGAGCCACTGGGGCCCATTCTGTTCTGCTGACCTGGACGGAGCCAGAGTCGCCCAATGGCCTCATCTCCCAGTACCGCGTGGTCTATCAAGAGGGGCCCAAGGATGGAGAACCAGACAGCCCACCTGTGCACGCATTCACAGCAATGGTAAGACCTCAGACAGCACAATCAAGCCCACGTCTCTGCTTGATGTGCTGGAGTTCATTTCTTATGCAGCTTGTCATTTTTGTTAAGTCTATGAAAATTGCTCACACATGCGTAGAATATGGACACAATACTAAATGGAGTCTGAGGAGTACGAGGCTCTAGCTTGTGAACCGCAGCTCATCTGCACTACTGCAGGCAAACGCATCCATCTCTCTCTGCCTTCCATATCCATTAAATGGGAATAATGCCGTTGTTCCCTCTATATTGTGTACAGATAAGGAGAGTAAAACTACTCAGAATATTTAACTTCCTACTTTTTCAAAAAGCTAATTTTATTAAAGTTACATGCACTATAAAAGTTACACATAGCATAATTTTGTGGTGATTTGAGGGCGCTGGTCCACTCTGATATAGAAAACAATCGAATTCTGTGCCCCCCGGGCCTCCTACATCTCTTCTCAGTGCCTGCACAGCCTGAAGTCCTACGGGGGACCCAGGAGCACCACGGCCCTGCTCTCTGGAAATGCTCTCTCTCATAGCACTACACAGACGAGAACTGTACAAGAAGGGCAGGATGAGAATGCACGTTATCCTGAGACTTGGATATCAAGCTTACCTACCAGTCATCACCCACACAACACGAGAACATAGCATCACACCCCGGAAGCGTTGGACACGGATGCACTCAGAGAACAGCAGGCCCCACACACGAAGCCTGCAGAGGCTTCACGCAGAAGATGAGGTGGAACAGTTCTAGGTGTTAAAAACATGCACAGGGTGATCATAACACATGATGAGTCTTTGAATTGTAGAAACTCATTACAGTGAAAGGCACATCACCATTCATGTCCCTCAAAGTACTCCTCCCACTCTGAGCAGGTTGACTGTGCCTGAACTCTGGCCACTTCGTGCAGCAGCTCTGGAAGTCCTCTCTCATGAGCATCTCTACGAGGAGCGATCAAGGTACGGGGACTACTGCTGGCACACACCGTCTGACAGGCAGGCAGGCTCGCGAGGACAGACCCTGTGTCCTGCTCCGCCTCAGCCCGGTCTAGCGGTGTGTGACTTCTGGCTGACCCCCAAAGTCAAAGTCACCGTGAAAGGTAAAGAATGTGAAACAACTCAGGACGTCAAGGCAGCCAGGACAGCACAATGGAGACACTCGGGAAAGAGGACTTCCCTAACTGCTGCGGAAACGAAAGAAAGAAAGAAAGAAAGAAAGAAAGAAA